AAAAAAAACTCAAGAGCTTTTAATGAAATCTGGAGCATTATTTCTTCTTGTCACTGGTACAAACTTCTGGCTTTTCGCATTTGCGTTAGTAGAGAAATTATTGCTAACTTGCTAAGATTTAGGCACTCAATTTTCAGAGAAATGTGAAATTGAAATTATATAAAAATAGTTTTTTCCCCTATCTCAAATTGACACAAGCAGGTGTTTGGTATACAGGGACATTGTAAAATCAAAATATGTCTCTCTCTAATGTTAGTGGTCTTTTCTTGAGGATATAAAATCTAGGAGTATAACACAAAAGAATCAGAAGGATGAAACAAGTCATCCTGGATTCGCTTATTGGCAGGATAGGCTCTTTTCTCATACTCTTACATTGGAAGTTACTTTGGGATCTGGAATGAACTATCATGACTGATGATAAAGCTATAACTTTAACTAGCAGGTACCTTGAAATGCAGACTGACTTGTGATTTGCTTGTGTGAGAGGACGTCTAGCACTTTTTGGACAGAAAAGTCAATTCACTGAAGTATGAGTGTTCAGGAAGGTTAGTGTATTTTTAGGAGAATATTATATTTTCTAATGTTGGGGGTTTCTAGATATGAGATATAAAAAACTAATATTTTGAAAATTACAGTATCATTACATTAGCATAGTCTTAAAGAGTGGAGATGGATATTACTCATCTATATTATCAAAGGGGAAAATATTTTAAAACCAGATGACAAATTTGTACCTTGTAATTTAAATACTGAAAGGTGAACAATCTTCCAAGTTCATCTAAAGAGGAATAGGAGAGAATAAAAATGGGAGGGATATAAGAGTGACTAAAAACCTTATTTTACAGATATGCCTATTTTATTAGCTTATAATGCAAATCATTACTTGTTCCTGCTACTAAGAGCCATTTTAGTGTAATGGACTCATTTCAGCTGATCAGGAGAACTGAAGCTTATGTCTTTTTATAAGTTCATGAAGAACTTTCAAATTGTCCTGCCTGAGTTGGAGACATAGATATATTTTTTCTTGATTGTTAAATTATAAAGTTAGAATTTATACTGATGAACATATTCCATCTTGACTAACATTCTCTGCTAAAGAAATTTTTTTTTCAAGAGAACAGATAATTAGAAGAAAATTCGAAGCCTCTGTGACATTTGACGTTCTTAAATTAGAACTGTAAACAACCATATTCTTTTTTTCCCCTGTGTGTGTCTGCTGTTAGTCAGTACCTACATGGAGTCTGGCACATAATAGTTCAATAACACTGAATGAATGAATTTATAAAACACTTTCGCTATTTTCCTTGTTGTAATCTTTTCTGATATGCAAAAATATAAAGATAAAAGAGTATGATCAACATATTCTTGTTTTTAATGTGAAAAAAATTGGTAAAATTCTAGGCGGGCTCTGACCAATGTGGCTCAGTCACTTGGGTGTCATCCTGCAAACCAGAAGGTCGCCAGTTCAGTTCCTGGTCAGGACACATGCCTGGGCTGCGGGTTCAGTACCGGGTAGGGGCATGTGCAGGAGGCAACTGATTGATGTTTCTCTCCCTCACTTCCCCTCTCTCTAGAATCAATAACATTTTTTTAAAAATTTAAAAAATTCTAGGTGGGTTGACTCAACATGACAGAAAAGAGGCCTCGTTCTATGTAGTTAGCAAGAAAGAAATCTCTTACATTCTTCTGCCTATTCAAATGAACACTGAGGAAGTGCTGTAATGATTAAAACAAACACTCCCCCAAAGCTTAGAGGTAATATAAAATATACCCTAAAAAGTAATACCTAGGAAAATCCTTAGAGTTAGTTTCTTTTTTCATTCTAGACTTAAACTTTCTATGGCACGCCCACTCTTCAAGACCTTTAAAATTCTAAAATACTTCTGAAGTGGTGAGGGGACCAGAACATCTCAAATCCTATAATTCTTTTGGGGGTAGGGATGGAAGCTGGCCAGTGTGGTATTATTTACTAGAAAATAATTTAAATACTAGTGTTGGTTGTTAATGGTCTATCACACAGGTCTCCTCTATGAAAGGTGGTTTGATGGTCAAGAGGAATTCGTTCATTACATAGAAGCAATGGCTACCATTACAGTGTTTCCAACTTCTGTCCCTTAGTGAGCACCCTTCACACTTGAGTAGGGGCTGCAGCTTGGTAGCACAATGAAAACAATGGACTGGAGTCAGGGGGTAATCAAAAGATTGCAAGTAGCTTCAGAGTTGGGATGCCCTGTGCCTTATACAGAGGTGGACAAAAGGAGGTTTACAGTTGTGAGTACACAAAACAGGCTTTATTTTTGTATTACATATTTATTTATTTAAAGAGTTTATTTATTTATTTTTAGAGAAAGGGGAAGAGAAGGAACGGGAGAGGGAGAGAAACATCAGTGTGTGGTCGCCTCTCAAGCACCCGGCACTGGGGACCCAGCCGCAACCCAGGCTTGTGCCTTGACAAGGAATCGAACCAGTGACCCTTTATTTCACAGGCTGGAGCTCAATCCACTGAGCCACACAAGCCAGGGCTTTGTATTATTTATTAATTATCATATTATTTATTTGTATTACAACTGTAAACCTACTTTCCCCCATGCCCTGCTTTGGCCCAAACACTTATGGGAGCCTCTCTTCACTGATTTGAGGACTGATATGTACATGTTCAGTAAAGACTATACTGGCAAATTCTTTTCTATATTGATGTGAAGCCTTTTATCAAGATGAGGGTATTATTTCAAGTGGCCAATGTGTGTTTATGTACCAAGGATATCCCTGGTTTCCCCTGAGCAGGCTCCCTAGAAGACGTGTGCATCCGGCAGCGTTTGCTCAGCAAGATAGAGAAGACGGCGAGTCAAACAGCAATAGAACTCTAATAAGCTAAACCTTAAATCTAAATTCTATTTATTTAAGACTAAAATTCCTGTCTAAAGCACTCACTTGGCACTGACATCACTTTCTGTTTATATCCAAATATGCATTTTACACTCTTAGTGGGTTACAGGTAATCCTTCAACTTGTGTTTTCAGTAAAAGAGAGCTCTAAAAGAGAATGTTCTTCACCAATGTCTGAGCAAGTGGTGACTCACTATTTACCAAGAATTCTTCTCTTCATTCACATGCAGGTAGGAGTCGACATTTCATCACCAACTTCATGCCAAAATCAAACGATTGTAATGAGAGTGATTATAAAATTATAATTAGAGAAAATAGTTGATAGAAACCAAAAACAGAGGTTGATACAAATATCCCATTGTCACTATACATCCAGTTTTAATTATGCAGAAGAACTGGGGGATATCACCCTAAGATGTAAAGATTCTGTGATAAAAAATACAATAGTCGATTTATTGATTTATTTCTTCAGTCAGTAATACTCATTGAGTGCTTACACTAGGCAAAATAATAGGCATGGAGAAGGAGATGTGTCTCCGACCTCAATGACAATGCATTTGAGGAGTCAGAACTGTAAATAGACAATACAGTTCAATGCAATAAGTAAAGTAAAGTGAGGTCTGTGTAAAATGCAGTGGGATCCCAGGGAAAGGGGCATCTATATTTGGCAGGAGAAGAGGCAATGCTTGAGCTCATTCTTGAAGGAGAAGCAGAGTGTTATCAGGTCTTCCAGGTGGAACAAACAGCATGTACAAAGGCCTGTGACAATGAAAAGTATATGATAGCCAGGGAGTCATACCTAGATTATACTGTTGGAGCAGAACGTGTGAAGCAAATGTTAGGAGTAAAACTGAAGAGGTGGTATGGGCGAAACGTTTTGAAGACCCTGAATGCCAGACCGAGAAGTATAGATTTATCATGTAGCAGATGGAAAGCCATTGGAGAAATTTAAATATAATCAGATACTCATTTTAGAAAGACGTGCAGTTAGCAGACTGGAGAATGGATTGGAAGAGGGGTCAAATTAGTGTCAGTGAGACTTTATGGTGGTTGTTTCTTACCTGCCCGCTTGGAGGGAAAGTGCTATTTCACTAAATAGAAATAAATCCTCAAACCCTGGCAAGAATAGGAGCATAAGGATATTTTCCACAGAGGCATCTTTTTAAGGAAAAAGACTGTTCACGTGGGGTAAAGATTGCTGACTAATTTTGTATGCCCTGTATATATCTTTTAGGGTCAAGTGTACATTACTTCTTGTTTTACTTAATTGTATGATTGACACCCACCTGAACTGACATTTCTGTTACTGCATTGAAAGACTGTAGTGTTGTAGAAGGAGTGCTACCAGGAGTCAAGAGACTTGCCTTTAGTTCAGCTTTACATCTTAGGCTTTGTAAGACTGTGGAGAAGTCACTTTACCTTTTTGGGTCTCAGTTTTCTCAGTTATAAAGTGAGGAGCACAATGTAAATTATTTGTAATGCCACTTTATATCATGCTACGATTTGGGACCTTGTTTGCAGTTATTAATATCTCCTAATGTTTATTTCTTTCTTACCTCATCTTCATGGTCTGCCACAACTTTAAAGGAACAGAAATATTTGAAAGGTAATTCCAGGATGTGTTATTTAGGGCAAAAATTCTGTTTTTATTGCATTGCACTAAGTACACTTAGCCTTCCCCCTGAACTAGTAGGATATTGTTAGCCGTCTTGAAACTGTGGACATGAGTCACATTTTATCCTCATAGGAACAAAAAGAAAACTATGTAATCACTTCCAATGTCCACTACCTAAATTAAGAATTTAGCTCTAATTTCTAGATTATGGATTTTTCCTTCCCAAAATGATTGCTTCTTAGGGCGGATAATTGTATGTTCTCAGAAAGCTAGTGCATGGATAAAACTGTGGCCCTTAAAATCATAGAAAGTGTACAGCTTCTAATAATACTTTCCTTATTTTAAATTCCGCATTTCCTTGGAAACTTCCTGTTATTTAATGCTCCTTTTCTTTTCTTTTCTTTTTTTTTTTTTCCACTTAAGGGCCTGTTTACATTAGTAATATATCTTCTAGAGCTCTGGGAGTTCATAAGGTTTGTACCTGCAAAGCAGCACAGCACTGTTAATGTGCTTCAGAGACATGCATGGGTCCCCCGGCAAATCAAAATGTTTTTAAATGTATGATATGTGTGAAGTTGATGAAAATTCATGACTTTTCCCTGTCAGAGCTGCTTGAGCTTAAATCATCAGAGAAAGGTGAGTGCAAAGAATTTTATTTAATACTTTTAATTCTGAAATCCTTCCCGTCCCTTGCTCATGGTCTCTTGTTTTAGCTCTGTTCTGGTGAGTAATCCGCTTACAAAAATGAAAAAAAAAATTAACTGCATGCTCTAAATTGCTTTTCAGAATTTTCTGCTTCAACTATGGCTTAGATGTATAACTTTTAAAGAGGAATTTAGATGTGGTTTGAGAATGTAATCACGTACTATAGAACATGCAAAATACATGTGAAAGACCACATGAGTGCTGTTAATTTAACTGATTATACTTTATGCTTTAGAAATATTTTCAAATTTATCTTTTAAAATTGAAAAGGAAATATTGCAGTAAAAATTTAAGAGATAAAAAGCCAAAATGCTGTGGATATTGAGATCAGCTGTTTTTAAGTAACAATCCATTCAAAGCAAAATAAAAGGCATTGTGTAGTGTGTGCCCGCTAAAATTGAGAACACAAGAGCATTGCAGTTAATTAGAACCAATCAACAGGATGCTTTGCAACATTTCTCACATCAGCACACCATCTGATCTTCATAATACAAATTTCCCACAGTCAATGCAAAAAGGAGGAGAAATAAATATGTCATTAAAATATATGATATATTTCAATCGCCCTTTCCAATACTTACTTTTAGGTGATTGTTATCAAAATGAGATTATGAAAATCCCCAAATGTTGTTCTATTTGTGTTTAGGGGGGTGACCTTCATTACGTTGTTTGTTTTAATTTTATATGTGTTTAAACATGAGGAAAAACATAAATTTTTGAAAATAAAATTTAGTGCATATATTTGAGTTGCTACCTGATTGATGCATGGCTATTGTGCTTGTGAAAGATAACTGGGCTTGTCCTGGATTGTTGAACCATATATTGTAAACAATTAATTAGTATTTTACAAATAACAGAGTATAGCATTGTAGCTATTTTGATATTAACAGAATACTGAACTAAGTAAGCTACATTACCATCTATATCATACGTCTTAAAAGAATATACAATACCTAACACTATTATAGTTCTTAAATTTATTCAATACTTGGTTCTGCTCAAAAGTTTTACTTTAGTTTCATTTATTCTACACCAGGAATTGTTCTGCTAGGGCAAAAATGTTGCTTTTGGCATATTTTCATGAAGTTCATAGTCTGCTCCTTGTAAATAGCATTCGTTTTTCTTCCCTCTCATTCCTCGTGTGTGTGTGTGTGTGTGTGTGTGTGTGTGTGTGTGTGTGTCAGATTCTTTGTTATGTTGTCTTCTCACATTAAAGGTGGAGCTCCCTCTGGGCCACTGAGGTGCTTCAAAACAGATTTGTAAGATGGTTTGTTAAAAATGTTTAACTTGAATTAGAAATATGTAAGTTTTGATGGTAGTTTATCTCCCTCATAAAATCTATTTTGTAAATGTCTAGCAGATGCCACTTTCAGAGGCAAAAATGGCTGTGAAACTGGTGCTATTAATAAGAGAATTGTTTTCCAAACGAGTTGAGTCGATCTGTTTCTTCTGTATTTAGAAAGCACACCTCCAGGTTGCAGTCTTTTCTTGCCTAAAGGAAACAGGTGTTAGGAAAAAAGCAAATACTGTAGAGTTCACTTTTGACTATTTTTGTTTCTTGTTTGTTTTGTTTTGGTCTGTATGTTTTCTTCTTTCACATCACACAAGATATTGTTTTTCCCCCTGTTCTCAAGAAAGGCTTTTTGCTAAATATTTTCTTTCTTGAGTGCTCCTTCTAGATTTCTGTAAAAAGAAAAAATGAGTTTTAAAGAACTATCTTCTCTCTAGCACTAAACTTTTTCCTTTGTGTTCTTTGCACAGATGCGATCTACTTCATTGCAGGAGGGCGTCTCCTAGCTGGGTTCTCTTTAGGGAATTTACTCTTCCTACCTTGTTACAGAGACAAATGTCTTTGATGACAAATACTTTAGAATGCTCATCTTACAAATACAGAAAAAGACTATGTTAGGATGTAAATATCTTTTTTGACTAAAGAGCCTATTAAATACATAGTAATATTCTGTGTTAAAAAATTTAAAATCTGATATATTTTCATGTCAGGTTTGAAGTACTCACTACAAGTGTTCACTGCTCCAATAAAAAGCAGTTTTCAGTAAATAACAGCCCAAAACTGGCTCTATTGCATTTAGTTTGATTTCTAGGAATTGAAACAGTAATGCTGTTAAGATGCATATTAAAATAACTCTGCTGATCTCTAACTCATTATTTCTTAAAGCTAACAATTTAGATTAAAAACTCATTTGATAAAAATAATTGGTTCGGGTGAAATGGGACACACATTCTTCTGCCAGATAATGATTCAGCAGCTACTCTGACTTCAGCAGGACTTCATTATACACCATTCTCATTCATCTTAAAGTCTTAAGAAAAAAAAGCCATGTTATTTATTTTTTAAAATTACATAACTTCTAAAGAAGTAAAAAGATATAGGAGAATGGACTAAAATCTCAAACAGAATGTACTCTTACTCAATTCTTTAATTTTTTTCTTAAGAGACAGGAATGCCATATGTTTAGTTTCAGGACAAAGGCACCTTTTAAAATGAAGAGCTTAAAGAAAATCTATAAAGAAGTTTACTTAATAGAAAGTAGGTGAACTAAGCTTTTGGTTCTAAAAACTATCTAGATCACAAAATCAGAAAATGAACAATATTTAATGAACTTTAGAACTAATGTAAGATTAGTCTTTAATAAAGGGCATCTTTTAAAAAATAAAAGCAATTATGAGCAACTTCTGGAGTTCACTTTGGATAATAAGTTCAAGGGGCACATTATTTTACTGTCTTTCTGGTTTTCTGTGGCAGAGCTGATTTAACTAGGGAGTTATGAAAACCTATATAACTTCAGAATGTTTCCAGGTATTGGTTTTATGCAGGACTTAGTGTTATGCAGTTAGAAACAAAACAAAAACCAAAACCTTAGAGTCATACAACATTAATGAACTCATTTAGCCATTATGAATTATTATTATTTCTATTATTATTATTATTTTGCTTTAAAAATGACCAACCTATACAGGTCAGGAACTACAACAATTCAGGTTCTTATCAATGTTATAAAATGTTCTTTTAACAGTTTAGCAATTAGTTAAAATCCCCATGCATGTGATTCATTAATATTCGTTTTTATATTTTGAGTCATATGTATTTAAACATTTTGGATCATTAAATACTATTAACTGCATGTTGTGCTAAGGTTTAAGAAAATCTATTGAAAACTGGTTGAGTTCATTTAAAAGTGTTTACATTTATGTTGCTTTTAAATAGAAATAAAGGTGCTAAATTTAATACACAAGTCATTAGTATTTTGCTAAAGTTGCAAACATTTTCTTAAAATGTTTTATTTGGTAATGAAAATAATTTCATAGGTATTAATAAATCTTCACTTTCTCGACTACTTTTTATTAAGTTTTAATTTCCTTAAAAATATATATTATTTTTAAAAGAATGAGTACATACATTTAGAATTCAAAATCACCCTAATCAAAGAGTTTAAAATCTTCAACAGGACAGTGAACTATTTACTTGGCTTTAATTTGTCTTGTAAGTGATTTGACAGAACTAACTAGTGAAAACTACCCAAACCAGAAATCAATTGGGAGACTCATCAAGAGGGAAAAAGGAAGAGTTGCAGGAAATGATATTTTCCCATCAGTGGATAGGCATGCATACATTAAAGGCATAAAAGGCAGCGGGGGGGAGAAACAAAAGCTGTATACTGAGGATTCTGCAAGTCTGAATTAACTAAATGGAAAAAAATGAAATCATTCTGCTTTAACTTGTTCACTAATAAAGGAGAATCGCTTTTGTTAAATATGCTTGGTGTGATTATCAGGCAAAATTTTTTTCTCCCAGACGTCTATGAATAAAACATGTGTTTGAGCATTAGGTAAACAAATAATAAATGGATGAGTTCAGTTGCAACATAATAACATTTTATTTAGAAAACATATATAATCATATTTGTATTGGCAATCCAAATTTAATGACTTCTTTCAGTAGAATTAAAGTGCCTCACAAATAACATCTTATGCATAAGGATTGCTTATCCTTTGCCCATATTTTCTCTTTTTCCAAAGGAAGAGATTTTTAAGGTCTCCACTGAACCATACCTAAACCAGAAGAAGAACAACATCTCAGAGAAATTCTTTTGAATCATCATCATTTTAGGTTACCGATGTTATAAAAATAAATTTTAAAATACATTTCTGAGAATGAGGGAGAAAAGCGTTCTTAAGCCTGGTGTAGCTTGGGCTGATTTGAGAAGGCTGTGTGTTGCTGAACGCAGTCTTTGGCTTATTAGCCATTTCATTAACACAACATCTTCTGTAAACTATGAATGAGAAGAAACCGTTTACAACAAGGAAAGCAAACAACAGAATGAATTTCCTCTGTTGGTGTTTTATAAGACTGTTAAACAGAAAATGGAGGGAAGAACTCTCTTTAGACGATATCACTTAATTAAGTAAAGCATCCTAATCAGAGTCCCCTCCAATTGTAATGACTGTAGGGAGTCAAGTACATTTCTGTCTGTATTAGAGTATCTAACTGCAATGATTTATTGATATTTATTTTAGAAGTACAACACAAAAGCAATAAAACAGAAGGAGCAGGGAGAGAGGGTGCATGCCGTGGCTTACTGCAGGTACAACCAGAGCACCACGACAAAATTCCTGATTTTCTTGTGGGAGATTTTACTTTCTAAACTCAGAACACACTTTCAGATGAGACTGTTTCTTTCCTGCATTTGACTTTTCCGAATATTCGCTGTATGGTTTCTTTGTCCATTGGGTGAATCATTGATTCACTTTCTTCACTGTAAAAATCACCGCAAATGAGTGGATGAGCACCTGCAGGGACAGTACTGGATGGCATTCTACACTGATTTTAGTCTTAAAACACAGCTTCTTTGTATTGGAGAGAGATTTGAGGAAGGAGAGTAAATATACTGTATAGGCAGACAGACATTGGC